TTTCCACACGTGATTGGAAGAGCTGAGATCCTAGAAGGTTTTCATATGGGGGCGGGCCGAGAAAGACACCCACCCCTTGCTTGAACGACCCGTGGAATTCGTGGCTTGGAAAAGGTAGTTGAAGAGGTCAAGATAGGGCATTATGCGCACCTCTCTACACCTAAGGAGGAAGGCCAATAGCACACAATGCGAGTTCGGGACTAATTGTCCCGGGGCAATCTCGTAGTAGTTGAGGAGAAACACGACAAAGGGGTGGAGCGGGAAAAGTAACCCATACGAAAGAGAAGGGACGTGCACCCCAAAGAGGCCGACCCGCGGGGGAGGGGGGGCAGTCACGTTGTCATCCAAGGTGGGCGCTACCACCTCGATGCCGGCCCCACTAGCGCACGGGTCTTGTCGAGTTGGTAAGGCGAAAGACGGGCCATAGTGGTCCTCGGGATGTGCAGGTCGAGGTCGGTATCCTCGACCTCGACCTTGCGCGGGCTCGTGGCCGCCGATTCGTCCCCGAGATCCTCGGACCCCTTGGGGAGGACGGGAAACTCATTCTCGAGCGGGATCAATGTGTCCGGAGAGTGGGAGTCGTCCATGTCGATTTCACCCTCGTCAATGGAGTCCAAAACACCAAGATCAAAACTAATAGACATGCAAGCAAGACAAAGGAGGGATCGCGGTAGGGACCCCTCGGCCGAGCTCTTCGAAAAAAAAAAAACTTATGCAACTCGGACGCTAGGAAGAAGGAGAGGAAGAAGAAACGACTAACCAGACTCGGGATGAAACTTGGAGACTCGGAGGAAGGCTTGTGACTTGATGTTATCACATCTGTGCTTGTTTTTATAGTTATTTTGAATCATCTCGGTAATTAAGTTCTTTAATTTTTCTTATTTAATACACGTTTTCATTACTATTCTCATTAGGATATGATTTTACACTGGTTTTGAATGTTTTACGGTGTTTGTTAGTGTTTTTGAACCATTTTAGGTCAAAGATATGAGCAAGGGGAGTTCAAGGATGAGTTTGGAGCAATTTTGGACAAGTTCGAGGCCCTGAGGACTCGACGCGTTGAGCCAAAGTTTCAACGCGTCGAAAATTTCCAGAAAGCCAAAAAGTCGAGATCAGCAGGTCTCGACGCGTCGAGCGCAAATCAACACAGCAACACTGAAAAGAAAGGGACGACAAACATTACAAAATAAAGCAGTGATGGTTTGCAATTTAAATCAAAAAGGGAAACTTCCAATTCCAAAGCTAAAAGCCTTCAAATTTCAATACAAAGTAGGTTGCATTATTTTCCAAATTACATGACACGCCAATTTCCTTAATTAATTAGGAAAATTCCTATTTTGTTCCAACTTTGTACCTACTATAAAATCCCACCTTCCTCAATCCTACTAAAAAGTATGGTAGTTTAGAGTAAATAATTAGAATAGATAATTTACAATTCATAGTTTAGAATTCAGAGATTCTTGGAGACAAAAAGGAGATAAATCAAGAGCCACAAGTTGTCTTGAAAAGCAAGAAGAAGACTAGGGAGATTTGGGAAAATCGTCTGGTTAATTCTTGTACTCTTTTGATGATTTGCTATGTATAATTTAGACATGCTTGGTTAAATTCTTTAGAGATTCTTGGGTAAAAGTGTTTATGAACCTATGTGCCTGAGCTCTCAGTTTCTTTAATATATTATTATTAGGGTTTAATACTTGTGTTGCAATCGTGATAATATTGTTTGATGCTTGTAATTAATGGCAATAGTTACTAGCTTCATAGCCATGTTTGTGTCACTAATGGGAGTTGGGGCATAAATTAGGGCACACACGATTGCACCTAATGGTTGGACCTTGGGAAAACGGAATTTATTAGGGGAATCTTATTCTAGATTGTTGCGCATCAAGAGATGGTAGTAATTGGGAATAATTGAATGCTGATCTTCAATCTTATCGGGTGTTTAAGCCACGGGAGTGGAAATTCACTAGGGGTAGAAATTACGGGAGTAATTCAGTTCCACTTTGCATTCCCATACAAGTCTTAATTCCAAACTAAATATTTCAAACGTTAATTGGCACTAGGTGATTAAATACTTGAATCCCATGAATCTCATCTTCTCTCTTATTATTTTCAAAATCCTGAACCTCTGTTTTATTTTATGCCAATCAATCATCTAAGTAATTGTTAGGATTAGCTCTAATGAATAAGTTAGTAACTAGTGCTTGATACAACCATTTCCCTGTGGATCGATAACTCGTACTCTGAGAATTATTTGTTTGCAAATATACTACGCATCATGACTCTAGGAGGAGCTTGAGAGATCCTTGGTGCATGTGGTGGTATAGTGAGATGGCCGAAATATGGGGAGAATGAGGGGTTTAAATAGGGGATAGATGATGGAAAAGAGGGGGAAGGGGAAGAATTGACCAAAAGTTCAAATTTGAAAAGGTATATGGGGAAGAGGAAAAGGTGATGGGGATGGGAGGAAGATTTGATGGATATGATGGGTGAGATTCTCAAGATTTTATAAGGAGGGAAATGCATGTTAATAGGGATTCTACCATATCTGGGGAGGATTTTTCGGAAGGGAAATTCTATCCGCGATAAAGATTTTATTTAGAGGAGGTCGGCTAATTATCGACTCGGGGCAACCGCGTAGGAGTCGGGTCTGCCCAAGCAGCTCGGCTAATGGCCGAGGCCAGCCACGGACGAGCCCAGTAGACCCGAGCTCGTCACCGTGGACCTCGGCTACTGCCTGGTCGGACCATGGTGGACTCAGCTAGGCCGAGCTCGGTACATAACCAGCTCGACCATGCCGAGTCGCCTTGCTTTGGACGCAGTCCCGGAGGGGACGCGGTCAAAACGGGCCGATCTCACCACCCCCCGTTTTGGGGGTGCGGTTGGGGGTTTTGGTTGATATAAAAGCCCCCATCTTGTCCTAACAAGGATACTTCATTCTAAACTACTACTTTATAGCTATTATTGTCCTAATCAAGCCTTGTAATAGCTTATTAGCGGTATTTAATACAATTTACGGTCCCTGCTACCTTACGATATCCTTGCGTTACATTTATTTATTCCATATTACGTTCTTATCCGGGTTTAATAATTCGGGCCATCCCGGGTTAATTAAATCCATCAAAGGCAATTTTGGGTTTTCTAAAAGAACGTATTCTCGCTCGGGTGCGGGGGTGGAATACAAGATTTTTGACAAGGGCTGGGCGTGAGGTGTTGCTAAAGAATGTACTGCAAACTTTACCAAGTTATGCAATGATGGTTTTTTCTTTGCCTTTAACCTTGTGCAGGGAGATAGAGGTTATTATAAATCAATATTGGTGGACTGGCAAAGTCGCAGGGACTGCGAGGATCCGATGGAAAGCGTGGAGAGCTATGTGTGTGCCAAAATCCAACGGAGGTTTAGGGTTTCGGACCCTAAGGGAGATGAACATAGCACTTTTGGGTAAACAAGCATGGCGGCTGTTAACAAGGCCGGACTCCTTGGTCGCACGGGTTTATAAGAGCAGGTATTACCCAAATTGCCACCTAATGGATGCGGAGGTTGGGAACAATTCTTCGTTTATATGGCGAAGTATTGTTGAGGCGAATGATGCGGTGAAAGGGTGGTATCGGCGTAGTATTGGTGACGGTCGTTCCACTACAATTGGGAAGGATTCGTGGCTTGTGATGGCAGAACATCCATACGTGAGTACCCAGCTGCATGACTCTGTAAGTGAGGCACCAGTGAGTTTGTTGATGAACATGACTGGCACTGCATGGGACCGGGAGTGTATTCTGGATGTTTTCCATGACAGGGATGCAAGCTATATCCTCAATATCCCGGTAAGTTCACGACGCCCTATAGATGCATGGGTTTGGAAGGGGGATTCTAAGGGGGTCTATACTGTGAGGTCTTGTTATAGGATGCTCATAGGGGAGGTGCAAACTGATCGTTCTTGGAATCGGATTTGGCACTTACAGGTACCTCTGAAAGTTCGAGTCTTTGCCTGGCAACTGGCGAAGGAAGTTCTTCCAACAAGGGAGGCTTTAAATCGAAGCAGGTGGCATGTATGGTACTCTGCCATATGTGTGGCAGTGTGGATGAGATGAGTGCACATCTGTTCCGGGATTTCCATCATGCAGGTGCATTATGGACTTTGGTGCAATTGCCGACATTGTCTCAAGACCAGGGCAGTACTGTTGAGTAGTGTTTTGAGCTTTTAATATGCCTGAAAGATGATGTGCTGTCCAAGTTTGCCATGGTTTGTTGGGCTCTGTGGGCAAGTAGGAATGCATCGGTGTGGCGAGGTGAGCAGTTTAGTAGGGGGAGAGTGTTGCGTGATGCGGTGAGCTATTGGGAAAGTTGGAATGCTATGCAGTCGGAGGGCAATGGTTTACAGCTTGTATAGATTGTGCCGGCTACATGGTCTCTGCCGAAGGCCGGCAGGTTGAAACTAAACTGCGATGCGGCTCTAGACTCAGCTAATAACGTAATGGGGATGGGGTGGGTGTTGCGTGATGACGGAGGAAATTACATGGCTGCGAAAAGCTTGCGGGTACAAGGGCAGTTCACGGTGGTGGAGGCTGAGGTTATGTGCATGCGTGAGGCGTTGTCTTAGCTTCGCAATACGGGTATGAGTGACGTAGACGTTGATACTGATTCGCAGTTGTGTTTTAATGCGCTAAGGGCTGATTCTTTTTACTCTGCTTTTGGTTTTTTAATTGATGATGTAAGACAAGTTGCCTCAATGATAAACGGGGTGGAGTATGCATATGTAAAACGATCTGTAAATCGTGCAGCTCATGCTTTAGCTAGAGGTGCCGTTTCTGTGTCAGGTCCCGGGGAGTGGTTAGATGATCCGCCCATCTTTCTGGTTCCGATTCTCGATGATGATTTAATGAATTGAGTTCTGTTTTCTAAAAAAAAAAAATTAAAATTTAGTTTGGTTGGTTTAAACAAATTAAAATTTAGTTTGGTTGAGTATTATTAATTATGAGTTTGGATTACATTTGAATTAATACAGGCATTAAGGAGACTTGCCCAAAATAGGGAGGCAGCAAGGAAAAGCAGACATAGAAAAAAGGCATCATCCATCTGATTATATATTAAATTATTTAGTCATCATGTGATCATTAATACCTAATTATGGAAACAACATATAATTACTGCAGGCATATGTTCAGCAGCTGGAATCATGTATGATGAAGCTCACTCAACTAGAGCAAGAAATACAACGAGCTTGGGCTCAAGTAATCTCCGTCCTTTTATAAAGAGTTTTTTTTTTTTTTTTTTTACAGTGTTAATAATACTCAATATAATTATATATATCATACTGGTTTATTGGGTATATATATAGTATTATCAGTACCAATATTACTAATAGTATTGGTACAATATAATTAAGCATATTGTATTTAGTTATATATGTTATTATTGATTGATTGATGCAAGAGAAAACAACCCTTACTATTATTCCATATTCTTAATTTAATTATCACTTAAATGTGTGTTTAGGGAATTTTTTTTGGTGGAAATTCCATTTTAGGAGGAGAACAAGGCCATCCACTTAGTGCTGTCAATACGGGCTGGCGGGGCGGGGCGGGCCAAAGCCCGGCGGGCCGCGGGCCTAAACGGGGCGGGCTAAAAAAGCCCGCTCCTAAACGGGCTTGGGTTTGATAGGCCCGGACCGGCCCGCGGGCTAGGCGGGCCCCCGCCGAAACCCCTTTTTAAAAAAAAAAAAAAATTGTTCATCAAACATCTAACTAATTAAAATAAATTGATACATAAGTTATAACTCACATAAAACATAATAATCAAACATCAAACTAGTCACAACTACAAAGTCCAAAAATATTACACATAACAATAATTTTAAAGTGCATATTTTATATAAAAATATTTTATATAAAATAAAATATAATATTGGCGGGCAACCCGCGGGCCTGGCGGGCCGCGGACCTAAGCGGGGCGGGCCAAAAAAGTCCGCTCCTAAACGGTCCTCTATTTTCAAAACCCGCCCCCTACCTAAGTAGGGGCGGGGCGGGCCGGCCCGGCGGGCTAAGCCCGTTTTGACGGCTCTACATCCACTTTCTGTGGCCAACATAAGCTCAGGTACAAAATTTCAGCCTCTAGTAACAAATTCAAGTTGCTATGAACAATGGCATCTAATCCATATAATATAATATGATCAATTTCATATATATGATATGGTCTCATAGTTCAATAAATAATACGTAAAAGTGCTTGAATTGTTGATGTGGACCAGCTAACTACTATATGTAGTGTGATGCTACTTCTATTATCATTCCAAATGGGTGATTCGCTTCCATTCTTTGGACAAAAAAGAATATTGAGAAAGGATCGAACCGCTGTGATAAGCTAAGGGATTGAGAAAATATAGAACAAATATTACCTTCTAAAAAATCATGAGTCCATTATTTGCTATTTTTTTGCAATGGTATTATTATTATTATTATTATTTTGGTATAGCCCAAGGTTTCTACTGCCCAACACATTCATAAATGCATATATATACAATACACATGAACATATATGGCAAATTGTTGTACAAAAAAAATGGCAAATTGGTAATTATTAAGGGCAACACAAGCATCCAGCGAGGGCTCCGATTCGGCGTCATGCTTCACCTCGTCCCTGATCCACAAAGAGAATAAATGCTTACCTAAGGAAATTCAAGTAGGGTCGCGGAGATGGACGGCGCACAGGTCATCCACGGTGGTTGCACGGAGGGACAGATCGAAGGAGAAGGTGTTGATCGAGGAAGAGGTCGAAGAGGAGAGTGGAGGAGCAGAGCTTGTTTCCGAGACGGAATGAGAGGGAATCAACATAATATGTTAGACTAAAGTATCACATGCATCATATAATATGTGATAATAGGATCGACTAACCTCCAGCCATAGCTCTTTACACGGTTGAACGATCCGGACTGCTGCAGAGATAACGAGTATTTTGTCTCTCACTTTACTCAGCTCTCTCTAGATGGTGTATGAGGTATGTAATGTGAGCAGTGAGAGGACTAGTGACCTTATATAACCACTGGCCATCATTGTGGTTGATTGTCTTTAGGTCTCCTAAACCCTAACTAGACTCCTAATCATAATGGTAGTCTAGTTGTTAGGTTATTAGTGTTGCACCACATATCAAATACTGAATATTATCATAACTTATCCTAATGTTATAATAATAGTAACGGATAAACGTTACATTCTCCCACTTGGTGCAAGCACTACCACTCAATAACAGAAAAACACCAACCATAGTGATATGTTCTCATTAGCACGAGTAGTATCCATTATGATCAAATGCAAACTGCCATTGAGCACTTAATTAGGAAACAAAACCCAACGAAATAAACCTTATGTTTATTCCAAGTCCCTGAAGTACATTTTCTCATCAATATGAAGCAAATGAATGTGTACACACTTAATTGAGAAAATGTCTGAATGCCAAAGAATTTTATTGAAACTGAATGTATATACAAATCACAAAGCAGATGAAAGTCTCATTTTCTAAACCAGATCCTTGAATTTAACTGAAGGCATGCATTTAGTCAAGGGATCTGCTAACACCAACCCAGTATTAATGTGTTCAAAGAATACAACTTTATTTTTGACACGATTCCTAATTGCTAAGAACTTGATGTCGATGTACTTAATTCGACTCCCACTTTTGTGGTCTTAGCTAGGAAGACTGCAGCTGAGTTGTCACAGTAAACTTTCAATGGCTTAGATATAGAATCCATAATTCTAAGCCCCTAGTTAAAATTCTTTAGCCAAACACCCTATGAAGTTGCCTCGAAACTGGAAACGAAATCGGCTTCCATGGTAAAAGTAGCTATTAAGGACTGTTTAACACTTCTCCATGAGATAGCCCCACTGGCCACAATAAAGACGCACCCTGATGTTGATTTTTGAGAATCAACACAGCCAGCAAAGTCCGCGTCTGAATAACCGACAAGATCTAAATTGTCCGTCTGCCTAAACCCAAGCTTGTAACCTTTGGTTCATCTTAGATACCTTAGAACCCTCTTTACAGCTCTCCAAAAGTCTAACCCTTAGCTATGGGAGCAACATTAGATGAACAATTTTGCACATGAAATCTCTCTAAAACTTTGTTTATATAGGTTTCTTGAGATAAACCCAGTATACCCCGGGACCTATCTCTACGGATTTTAATGCCGATAACGTAAGAGGCATCACCCATATTCTTCATATCAAAGTTCATAGAAAGAAATTGTTTCACGAAGCATCCCCTTATCATTGGTGGCAAGTAAGATGCCATCCACATATAAAACAAGGAAACAAATTTTACTCCCACTCACCTTCTGGTATATACAGTTATCTGAGGGATTTTCAACAAAACCAAATGAAGAAATTACCCCATTGAACTTGATGTACCATTGACGGGAGGCTTGTTTTAAACCGTATATGGATTTCTTAAGCTTACATACTAAATGCTCACCACCCCTAGAAGAGAAACCTTCAGGTTGTTTCATATAAACCTCCTCTTCTAGATCACCATTTAGGAAAGCGGTTTTCACATCCATTTGTTGCAACTCAAGATTAAAATGTGCAACTAATGCCAGAATGATCCGAAGTGAATCTTTCTTTGATACAGGAGAAAATGTCTCATTGTAATCGATTCCTTCTTTTTTAGTAAATCCCTTGGAAACAAGCCGGGCCTTGTATCTCTTAATGTTGCCTAATGAGTTTCTTTTAGCCTTAAAGACCCATTTGCAACAAACGGCCTTGGCCCCATTAGGCAACTCCACAAGATCCCAAACTTCATTGTCCTTCATGGAATTCATTTCATCTTTCATGGCTTCTAACCATAAGTCAGACTGTGCACAATTTGTGGCTCGAGAGAATGTTTCAGGATCATTTTCGGCCCCTATGTCAGATTCTTGTAGATACGAAACATAATAACTAGGAACTGCTGATCGCCTTATCCGAGTAGACCGTCTTAAAGTTGACCCTCATCACCTTGTATAGGCTGCAGGGCAACTACCTCTTCAGGAACTGGTGGCAGTTCTTGAATCGGTTCAGTCTGCATCGGCTCAGAATCTTGTTGTATATCCTGAGTTGGTTCAACCATTGGTTCAAAATCTAGTTCAGGCGGTTGCTGTAAGTCCTGAAATGGTTCTTCCAAAGGTTGATCCTCAACAGTTTGTGGAACCTAAACGGTAGGTGGTATATCTGCAGGCATAACTAAAGGAGCACTGCGGATAAGTACAACCCCACCAGATGACGTAGAAGGTTGAGAGTCAATATGATCGAAGGAAGGAACTAAGTCCTTAAACCGATCACTCCCACTAATCAAGTCATCTTCAAGAAATTTAGCATTCCTTGATTCCACTATCCTAGTAGTATGAGATGGACAATAGAATCTATAACCCTTAGAAGATTGTGCATATCCAATAAAGAAAGCACTAATCGTCCTTGGATCAAGTTTCTTCTCGTGTGGGTTATATATCCTCACCTCAGACGGACATCCCTAAACACGCATATGTTGCAAACTCGATTTCCAACCTTTAAATAACTCAAACGGTGTCTTAGAGACAGCCTTGGTTGGAACACGGTTTAATATATACGTTTCCGTCTTAAGTGCTTCATCCCACAACGACTTAGGAAGCTTAGAGTTGCTAAGCATACTCCACACCATATCCAGAAAGGTCCAGTTTCTTCTTTCAGCTATACCATTTTGGTCAGGAGAACCAGGCATGGTGTATTGGGCAAAAATCCCATGCTCTTGAAGAAACTTAGCAAATGGACCAGGTGCTTGTCCATTCTCAGTATATCTACCATAGTATTCACCACCCGTATCAGACCTAACTATGTGTATTTTCCTGTTACATTGGTTTTCAACTTCAGCTTTAAATGATTTAAAGGCATCCAATGCTTCATGTTTATGATGAAGTAAATACACATAGGAAAAACTTGAGAAGTCATCAATAAAGGTGGTGAAATGTTTCTGACCAGGTATTGTCATATCAGGACAACATATGTCAGTATGAATAATTTCCAACAACGTTGTACTTCTATTGGCACCTTTCTTTGACTTGTTTGTCTGCTTACCCTTATGCAGTCAAGGCAAGTCTCAA